AATAAAGTCTTCACTTACCCCCGAAGTTGGCCAGCGGCGAAACACACAAAACACAGAAGCGCGACACAGCTGACTTGCAGGGCCGCCATGTTCGGCACAACAAAGTTAGACGTGCCAACTCGGCTATGCCAGAGCGATACTGTGTTTGCAGCTAGACCAGCTCGGCCGGTGTTGTTGCTGACGCTTTTATGACTTCTAGGAAATATTTGTCCAAATAAAGTCTACCGACGCACTGTCTTAAGGTATCTAAGTAACAAATAGCCTTTATTGTTATCGTTAGCACTGCCCCGTTGATATTTCCGTGAATTGTTTACCATGCAGTGCTAAAGTACATGCAATATTTGGTAGTGTAACCCATGTGTCAACTTAAGTTTGGGTGTTTGTTAGTAATTCTAGCCTTGGCGGAAACTTAAGAGTTTTTTTTTCGTGGAATTGTTTACGCCCGGGCGTGCTAACATGACCGGTCACTTGCACAGGAACGGGCGTTAACCCCATGGGCATGCGTACAACAGACCCTGTGTCCATACAAACCCAGACAAATTTTGTGAGTCTGGACAAGCCTTAGTCTACTACGAAAAACAGTCAAGACATCTAAAAGTAAGTTGTTCAGTCTCTTAAAACAACCATTCCATGTACATACGTGTAGTTTTTTTTTTTGCATTTTGTTTACGTATGTAACCAGTACCCTTTTCTTTTCGCGCAATAGGTTGCTTTTAGTCTGTTAATAAGTCATTCGGTTTGTTTGTTTGTTTCTTTGTTTCTTTGTTTCTTTGTTTGTTTGTATGTATGTATGTTTGTTTGTTTGTTTGTTGGTTTGTTGGTTGGTTGGTTGGTTGGTTGGTTGAAATCTATCCTATAGTTTTACGTGTATTTGGGCTGTGCCTATTTACGTTTTTATAGCCTTTGTGTCAGGAGATACGTGCGCGTAGAGAAAGACAGAAAAGTTTTGGCCTAATTGTTATAGTTCGTCTGTGCGTGCGCGCGTGTGTGTTTCTGTAGCTGTGTATTTGTGTGTGTGTGCGTGTGTGCCTGCAAGTTTGTGCTTGTGTGTGTGCCTACGTGCGTGCATGTGTGAGTGATCATGTGTGTGTGTAAGTTTTTGTATGTGTCTGAACGTGTGTGTGTAATCGTGTGTGTTTGCGTGAGTGTGTTTGTGTTTCTCTCTGTGTATGTGTGTGTGTGTATTTGTATGTGTGTGTTTGTGTGTGTGTGTGTTTGTGTGTGTGTGTGTGTGTGTGTGTTGTGTTGTGTGTGTGTGTGTGTGTGTGTGTGTGTGTGTGTGTGTGTGTTTGTGTGTGTGTGTATGTGTATGTGTGCCTGTGCGTTTGACCGTGTTTGGGTGTGGGTGTCTTGGTGCGTAGGTGTGTGTGAAAAGTGTAAATGTATGTCTCTAAACACGTTGTCCATAGATTGAATCCTTTTTTGGCATTTTTACACCGGTACAAACCACAAACCGTAGACAATACCACATTCTTTAATTTAACCCTAAACAGTACACCTGGGGTCCGCGCGGACCCCAGCACTATATATTCTGTAATATCTTTTTTGTTTCTAAAGATTTTTTCCTGAAATTTTAGGTAATTGTCACCCACAAAGTTGTCTCTCAATACAGTGTAGAAAATTCCGTTTCTACCATTTATGAAAAAAATTATATCTGATTTTCTTTTGGGGTCCGCACGGACCCCAGCCGGCTTTCGATCATAATGGATACACTGGCGTTCTTATACATGACCTTATTTCCGTTTTTATATGTTTTTATGCACTCTTCGTATGTCTACCAAGTTTTCAGAGAATGGTGTGGTAATAGAATTAAATTTTAATAACTTTGGTGTAATTATGACGTCATATGACGTCAGAGCTAATAATATAGTCAGCCATATTGGATGTTGACCAATGACGTCATCAAATTAGCATATTATATGCATATTAAATGATTTAACTTATATTTAATTATGTAAGATGTTATCAATGTTGGAAAAGAAGTGTAATTTAATATAAAACTCAGAAATTTTTTATGTTTAAACCAAAATTACTTCTATTTTTAAAAAAATAGCCCGTTGCCATGGCAACACAAAAAACATCAACTTACTGGTATTTAACTAATATGAACTTTTTTCCAGAGACATTTTAGGAAAGGTCTCCAAATTTGATACTTCTAGCGCAAGCCGTTTAGCCGCTATCTGAGATCAAAGTTGGGCCTCAAAAGCCCCTTCAGTCTGAAATGGGTTTAAAAATCGGATATTTCTTCTTGTCTTCTTTTCTTCACCAAAAAATAGAAAAAGTTCAAAATGTATGATTTTTGTATGTAATGTGGACACAGAGGTTCCCACATCAGTTTGCAAAACAATTGAGCTGGTAGCATGTTGATAATTTCTAAAAATTAGCAAAAAACTGCTCTGGGGTCCGCGCGGACCCCAGGTGTACAGATTAATCAGTCCGGGAAGGTGTACTGTTGAGGGTTAAGTATGCATTTAAAAAGACACAATATAGGCTGGTACTGGTAGTTGGCACGTTCTGCTAATTCTCAAGTTGTGTTAAATGGCGTTTAGGGATGCTTTTAGTCTGAAAGGGTGTCTCCTCAGTTTCGTAATCACAAGATAGAAATTTTATTTACAAAATTTTAGGTGGGTAAGTTTTTTTTTTTTTTTTACTTTTAAATATAGCCGTATACTGGTCTGTTTAATGGCGTTTTAATTTGGTCATCCTTTTGTACTGGTAACGTTTTTACGCTGACCCATGTTTGTAAAAAAAAAATCTGTGATCAACTAAACAACGTTTAGCTAAAATACACTAGGAACAGAGCTGTTATCAGGACCAGTCCCTCCGTTTGATAGTAAGAAAAAAAGAAGCCAGACTTTTTCCTTCATTTCCTTTTGTTTGCTTGATGTTTGAGAAATAACATAAAGGTATCTGAAAGCTATATATACAAGGTCTTTACTATTGTATGTTTTTTTTTATATGTAAGTGCAAAACAGTTTAAAAAAAACAAGGTATTAGACTAGTGCTGATTACGATTGACAAGGACAGAGTACACAATGTACTGGGGAATGGTATAACTTTTTCTTTGGACTATCTTCTTCTCATGAGGTAAAGCAGAGAAAGTTCTGTTTCCAGTACTGTTCGTCAGTCATTTCGGACAAATGGTCAGGCCCTTTTAAACCAGTACAGATTCTATGAGTTTTTTCAGAGTTTTGCAATTGGTTGGACGACCGATCCTCCTATTTGCAGTCGGAGTCCTAAGGCCCCCATGCCACTTAGTGCCACGACGTTCTCACGGTGCTCTGAAATTGGCCAGATCACGGAGAGAGCACCGAACTTCACGAAAAACGTGCTTAAGTGGAATCTCTACGGCGACCTCTCTGCGCTCTCTGCGCGACCAAAAACTCAAATGTCAGCAACGTTTTGGGCCGAACCACGAATTCACAGCTCACTAAGCGAATTGTGGAAATGGAGAACGAAATCTTTTACGTTTTTTTCATTGTTTTCACAGTCATTCTTGCACACCCTGCATCATATTCAAGCTATAAAACCAATGGTGCAAGGCCCCCATATCTATGACGGCGCTCTCACTGCGTTCATTTTGCGACCTGAAATTGTGGGAACGCGGAGAGAGCGCCGTCTAAGTGGAAAGCGGTATATCGATGGTATAACACCGTTCCTTACCATCGCCGAGGTGGCGCTCTCATGGCGCTCTCATCGCGCTCCCATCGTGCTCTCATGGCAACCTTGGCGCTCTCAACGCGCTCTGGCCAATTTCAGGTCGCGGATCATTGCCCTGAGAGCGCCGTCTAAGTGGAATGGTGGTATAAGTAAGAGTCGTTGAGCATGTTCTTAATGACGCGTCACATGATCCGCGGGGCTTAGCCGGCGTCTTTTTTGATACACTGGTGATATATTAAAGAATGGTAGAGCACCATATGGTAAAGCGATATGATGTCGAAAATTTATGACCTTGTCATTGGTCTACCCCAAATGCTCTAGGGTCAGCGTTTTCTGTTTGCTTGGGTCGGTTGCAAAACCATAAACACATCTTGATTCGCAGGCTTAAGAAGGTCAAGATATGTATTGGTCAGGTTATACAGAGTAAAAAGTAGATAATAAATCTTGTGTGACATATTTTTAAGTGCACGCGGCCAGGTGAAGACTGTATTTTATATGCATTGTAAAAATCATGTTCTCAATCGACCACATGCTGAGGATGCTGAGCGAAGACGTGACAAAAACAAGAGAATAAACGTTCAAACTAGTGGTCTTGTGTGTTTGCCTTGTAGCTAGGGATGTTGGCTCAAAATCTTTGGTTATAATCCCTAGCAGGTCCGTTGTTGTTGCGTGTATATATGGGCGCGTGTGTGTGTGTTTGTGGATGTTCGCGCGCATGTGTGCGTGTGCGTGCATGTCTCCCTGTGTGTGTATGTGTGTGTGTGTGTGTGTGTGTGTGTGTATGTGTGTGTGTCTGTGTTTGTGTATGTGTTTGTGTGTGTGTGTGTCTGTCTGTCTGTCTGCCTGTCTGTGTGTGTCTATCTGTGTGTGTATGTGTATGTGTGTGTGTGTGTGTGTGCGTGTGTGCGCGCGTGTGTGTGTGTGTGTGTGTGTGTCGGTTAACTCAGGTTGACCTTTAATGCGTTCTGTCGGTGCTGTTGCTGCCCCCCCCTCCAGTAATAAACGGCTCCACTCTTGAACAATATTTGGAACCTGGTACAAGCGGTATCTAAAGAACTACCTACAAAGGTACAGTTTAATGATTGACAGAGGCTTTGTTATACCTGCCCCTTAAAGCCCGCGGGGGCAGATAAATACCCTTTGGTCTTAAAACATAGCATGGATTATTTACTCACTGTATACTCTGCATAACTCGAGTGATTTATAGCCCCTTTGGGTATATACACTCAGGTTATAAATGCGGGCTGTTTTTGACGACGCAACAGGTGCAAGTCTATAGTTTATCGTGTCAGTTTTTAAAAGAAATTGTGACAGCACTGCATAGATATGTTAAGCATACCTTTTAACATGCATGAAATATAACCTTTATGCATGATTTCGGACATGTGCTTAGATTTTATTTCCGTGCGTAGGTTGATGTGTAACAGATGTCCGTTAGCTAGCCGGTAGCTAGCTGGTGTTACGCCGAAGGGCGGTTATACAGGCTATACCGATACAGAAGCTGGTGTGTTACGCCGAAGGGTGGTTATACCAGCTATGGAGATTTAGATAAAGATACAGAAGTGGTATTGTGTTCGAATCCTGTCCGAGGTCAGCGATCTCGTGCCATTAGAAAAGACACTTTACATGATTTTCCTCACTTTACTCACTGAACATGAGTACCGATGGGGATGTCCCTTTAGATAGGACGTTAAATGCAGGTCCCGTGGAGAGCCACACCCCGCGCAGATTTATAAAGAACCCACCACACCTATCGAAAAGAGTAGGGTACCTTTCCGGTGTAATGCTGGGGTCACAATTTCCACACGGGACCCGGCGGGGCAGCTTTTAGGAACGAAATATACGATATAAAAGACAACAAAGCACAGAAAAGTTGTTAATAACAACCATGGGCAATATTTTTGTATATTATTGATATGAATTGTTAATTTTTCGTTCATACAACGTCCATCGTCCATACCGGGCCCCGGGTCAAAAATGTGACCTAAGTACGTATAAGTGGGTCAAACGTACAGTCCTAGGCTATAGCCACGTATTGAGGTCACCTGAGTTATCGCCGAATGGCAGCCGCTCCAGACCGTTGTTTAAGGCCCCGATAACTGTAAGCTCCTCACAGTCCGGCCCTTGGCTACCAGGAGAGAGTAGCCGGCCCATCTAAAAACAGTGTGATTTTATCTGCCCAAAATGTGTGACCTTTGGTTCGTCACTTACTGTACTTACCCACTAAAAAGGGGGGTAAAATCCTGGTGTGTTTTTAACAATTTGGCTGTAGTTCTTGTATATTCTACAGTTCTGTGTAAAAGGGATTTTGTCAAATTTCCCGACAGAGGAAAATTACATCGGTACACAAACACTCAGACAACAATCACAACCATATAAGCAAATCCTGAAAGAGATTAACTACGTTATATATAAAGTTTAAATACATTATCGTGGCAATATTGTTTACAGTATTGGGTTTCTTTGCGCAAATGTCTTACTGTATAGTTTATAGCTTTTGATAGTCACGGGTGGCCGTTTGACTTTCATTTATACCTTCACGGTTACTGTAACTGTTTGCTTGACACAGGTATGGGATTTGATGTCCCCTTAGAGCTCTGAACAGGACACCGCAAGTGAAGAAAAATGAGACTTCCGACGTTGACGGCTCTGTACGTGTGTTGCATCTCCTGTGTGTGTGGTGGGTAAAAATGCATCTTTACCTTCGCCAAGAAGGTTATGTTTTCAGAGGCGTTCGTGTTCGTATGTGTGTGTGTTTGTGTGTGTGTGTGTGTCTGTCTGTCTGTAAACACGATAACTTGAGAATGCCTTGATGGATTGTCTTGATACTTGGTAGGTGGGTAGGTCTTAATAAGACCTCAAAATGATTAGATTTTGGGCCCCCTAGCAGCTTGTTACGGTACTGCAGCTGAACTTCCGGTTTTGATATCTCATGATCAAGACATGCTAGGGTGACGAAATTCGGATGGCACGTAGCTCTTGTGCTGGGAAAGAAGTGACGTGAGTTTGGGCCCCCTAGCGGCTTGCTCTGGAACTGCAGGGCTATCTGTTTGAATATATTCAAAAGAGAATAACTCAAGAACCGGTTGACGGATCGTCGTGATTTTTGGTATGCAGGTAGCTTACGTGATGCTTAATATAATTATGTGACAATTATGCAAATATGGATGTAATTTGCATAATCTATGGAGAAATTCTATAAATCAGCTGCATTCCATCATAGGACTATTGAAGCTTGTGGCATTGGTAGTTGAGAACGAGATAAACACAGGCAGATATTGATTATGTTAATGAAGACTTAATTTGCATAATTAATGAGAAAATGTTATAATTCTGTAATGATAACTGCCTGGAATTTCATACTTATGGTCTTTGAAAGTACAGTGAAGGTGAACATCATTAAACATAATGAATTTAAATCAGGACCTCATTTGCATAATTTATGAGGAAATGCTAGACTGGCATTGTTTGTTAATATAAGACTGTCTTTTGGTTGAGAATATGATAAACTGATATAATTCATGAAAATGAGGATCCTATTTGCACAATCAGGGGGAATAATCTATCATTTGTCAGCCATAAAGATTAACATCATTTGGCGAAGGTATGAGATCGGGGAACTCTAGTTTATATTTAATACTTATTTTAAACGCTATTTTAGCTAAAGTCACAATCCCTAATTTTGGGACCCGACCGGGTTGTTCACGAAAACTATAAGTATTATATAAAACAGAACAAAACACAAAAATTGGGAAAATTGTAGCCTCCGTTGGGTTTTTTTAGGGGGGGGTGTTTTCTAATCAAAAGTAGATCGCATGCAATACAAGCTCCGGCCGGCAACCCTACATAGCTCTTCCAGGGATGGATATGTAGGGTTGCCGGCCGGAGCTTGTTTTGCGTGTGATCTACGTTTGCTCAGAAAATCCATCTCTCCCCCTCCAAAAAAAAACCCCACAACGACCGATACCGGAACGCCTGAAAAAGAGGCTAGAAAAATTAATGATGGAAACTAATTGTCTATATTTTTATATACACCGTTTGGTTTCCATTCACGCAGACTCAGCATAAAGTCTCTGCCACACGGCAGAATACGGCCTCCCAAACACTAGCCGAACTACATGGTCGGGAGTAGGTCGGGAGTAGGTCGGGAGTAGGTCGGGAGTAGGTCGGGAGCAAGGTTGGCTGTAGTTTAGCTTGTGTTTGGCTCAGTCGGCTACTGTTTGGCTGCTTCAGCCGAATGTTTCACAATTTTAAAAAATTTTTGGGACAAACGGGAGGTTTGGACAGGGTTGATGTTATTTGGCTCGTGTTTAAGTGTAGGTCGGTGCTTGGTTGGCAGTCAAATTTGACTTAAAATTTACTCAACTTAGATTTAATGTGTATAAAAAAAGTAGACTGACAGAAAAAATCTGGTCAGAACATTGAACCAACCTCGGTCAGCTGGTGTTCGGCGGAAATTTTGGAATGTGTGACAGAGGTTTCACTATGAGAGTATGAGAGTATTCTACAATTATTTGTGAAAAGTTTTATTTCAAACATTATGTGATTGTCTTTTACCATTGGTCAAATGAATGTCTAACACGGAATTATATCCTATCATAGCTGAATCAGTGTATATTACGGCCTATGGAGGTTTCCGGTACTTAAAGGTGAGGGCTTCCGGCCGTATGACGTCATCAAATGTCAAGACCACCTGCGAAGCTGCTGGTTACGTCACTCCCTGCCCGTCCTGGAGCACGTGTCTGCACACGTCACCGGACTGCACCGTGGCGAGTCTGACCGACTGCGTCAGGCCCATGAACGACCTCGCTGTTCCGCTGTGTGGCGCTGCTCCTGATGCCTGCCCTCAGTTCTACAGCGTTTATATCTTCATGAGCAATTTCAACAGTGGGGCGGCCTGTGGGGTCGAACACAACTGGTGTGCAAATGGAAATAACTACTACAACAAATACGCTCTTTGCGCTGAAGGTATGTTTCACAACAATGCATTGCTGGGCTGAAGTGTCTCATTTTTAAAGAAGGGCACGTATACGTAGATTACGAATCACTACTGATCGCTTTTTACCCTTTAATTTTCAGATTTTTGAAACTAAATGATGGGAGTTGCTTTAGCTATATATAGGTGAATCCCAAATGAATCACATTTTTTTTAGATGTGCAGTTGAATTAAATAGATGGTACAATGAGGATTGAATCTCATATCATTACATTCTTTATTGCAAAACGGTCATTTGTTTTCCGTCCGGGACGGTAGTATTGTTAAAGTCATACTAATTCATGCTTGAGTTTGTATATTTGGGTTTAAGAATTAGATGGTTGGTTTAATAGTGTTGTAAGCCATGTAACCTGTCTACATTCCTTGAAATACATTCACAAAATCTCAAAACGCTTTCCAAAATCTGAAATCTCGGTCTTCTTTTCTTATTTAATGTAAAAAAGTATTTCTTTAACGTTTGCGTTTTATGCGCAATTTTTTTAAAAATTGTTTTAAAACTAGGTCCGCCTAAAAAAATTGAACAAGGGCAGGCAATACGTTTAACCGTTTTTTTTTTTTAAATGAAGCTGCTGAGGGGTACTTAGTCAGTATCGGAAGTTGGGCATTCTACAAGGCCACTGTCTCGGGCACAATGTCGGCGGCAAATATCCAGTCGGCGTGCGCTGCAGGCGGGGCCGTAACACCGTGTCCGGGGGGTAGCGCCTGCGGACTCCCTCCGTCCTCCTGCACGGTCACTAGTCTCGCTTCATGCGGCAACCCGATGTCGCAGCTCGCTGCGGAGGTCTGTGGAAGCAACGCGACGTCCTGCAGGCTGCTGGACGGAGTGTACGCCATCACATACGACAGCAACGGAAAGACATGCGGAGTAGAAGCAGGTGACTGGTGTGTGGACGGCTCGACTAGAAACAACGGCTTTGCCCTGTGTGCGAGAGGTGTGTTGGCTAATTTCTGTGTTTTGGTCTTGATTTTAAAGGGGAGTAAGGGGAGGACAGAGAGGGGCGTGAGTTGTGGAAGTTTCAGCACTTCATGAATGATTTCGTCGTGTTGGTGAATGATTAGTTCTTTATTCCCAAACCACTTGTTTAACAAGAGCTAATAAGATAAGGTCAGTCATATAAAAGATAAAGATGAGGGACAGTCATCGAAACGTCGACTATTGTTAAACAGGGGGTTGCAATTCACAACTAGTTTTGCTATTTATCCATGGTATATCTAGTTTTTTTTTTCTTCCGGAGAAAATAGGTGTGTAGGTGCATTTGTATATTTAGACGTAGGAAAGGTAAATGCGGCTCGCTTTCATATGGGTTGTTACCAGCGTAAGAATTGTTTTTATTTTCTTTAATA